CAGAGGGCCGGCAGCCGCTCCCCGCGGCCGTGTGCGAAGCCTGAAGAGCCATTCCCAGCCTCGCTGGCGCGTGTCTCGGTGCCTTGGCTGTAGTTAAGGTGAAACCTGTCGGTTACGGCTCGGGACTTTGCCGTGTCTCCTGTGTCCCCTAATGACTAATCGTCCTCCCTTCGTGTTTCCACAGATTGCCTGGGGACTCCCATCGTCTACTCGCCAGTCAAAGCAGACCTGACTGGAAATATCAAGGTAGGAAGGGGCGCAGGAGGGCTCGGGGGGGTGAACCCCCCGGGCAGAGATGCTGTGGGATTGGAGAGGCAAGATGTGGAGGTGTTTAAAAAGGGCTTTTCTTCCCACGGGGGCTTTCGGGCTCAGCGGCGGCTCATCTCGGTGTGTTTATTAACGAGGTTCCCTGGTGAAAGCACCATTTAGCAGCCGTGGTGCTCGCTGCAGACACCGCGTTTCCCCATGCCGCAGCCGTGAGCACCGGCCTGCTGCCGCTCTGCCCGGCAGCTCCCGGGAACCAACCCCCCTTCTCTGCCCTCTCAGAAAATCCGGGCGGTTTACGACTCCAACCCGGCCAAGTTCAAAACGCTGCAGAACATCCTGGAGGTGGAGAAGGAGATGCACGGCTCGGCCTGGCCCAAGACAGGCGCGACGCTGGCGCTGATGTGGTTGAAAAGGTGACTCACGGCGTCAGGGGCTGCTCCGGGCTGTGTCCTGGCACGCGGGGAACCTGTCGAACGCCAGCCGGAGGCTGCTGCGGAGAGCGTGGGTCCGGCTGGTCCCTTCAAGCTGGGTCTGGCCGGGGCAGTGTGGCATGCTGCGTTTCGGGGAGCGCAGCCCGGCGCACTGGCTGTATGAGCAGGAACACGCAGGGGCAGGCATCAGCCCTGTGGGGAGGGTGTGCTGCCGGGGCTGTGGGTTTTTGGCGGGCCCAGATGCGTTGGGCTCGGGGGGTGCCTTGCTGGAGGCTGGGAAGCAGCATCCCCTTCCCCACCCTGACATCTCCGCTCTTCTCACAGGGGCCTGAAGTTCATGCTGGTGTTGCTGCAGAGCATCTCTGATGGTGAGCGGGACGAGGAGCATCCAAACCTCATCCGAGTGAACGCCATGAAGGCTTACGAGATCGCGCTGAAGAAATACCACGGCTGGATGCTGCAGAAACTCTTCACGGTGAGCGTTCGTGTCTCCATGGAGGAAAGCAGCCTTTCTTTAAGCCCAGCTGCTCCCTTAGTTGCCCTGAGCAGTGATGTGTTTTAGGGGAATAAGGGCTTGGAAACATGGGAAGCCGCTGATCTGTTTTGAGCAGTATTTCCAGGGGACCCTCTCTGTGTATCCCCGCTTCTCCGAGTGTCCAGCCAACATCCCCAAGGTTGTTCCCGTGCGCCACTGAGCGCCCGGAGACTCAGCGGGGTCTCCGGGCGCTCAGCGGTGCACGGGAACAACCCAAACTGGGGTCCTGTATGTGGGATGGGGAGGACTTTGGGTCTGTGGGAGCCTTACAGCTTCTTCCCCTGTTTTACAGGGCTCGGTCTACGCTCTTCCGTACAAATCGGATTTGCTTAAGGCGTTAGAGAAGGGTAAAGAAGTCAAAGAGGAGGAAAGCATAGAGAAGATTCATCAGTTTCTCTCGAGGGTCACCCCCATCCTGGATGCAATTTATGAGATGTACACAAAGATGAACGCCGAGCTGAGCTACAAAGCCTAAGGCTCGCACGGGACTGGCAGGGCTCAGATAAGGTGTGACGGGTGCTACCTGCGTCTCAATCACTGAGGCAGCTGGGGTGGCTCCCGGCTGTCAGGCGACTTTGATTCTCATCTGGATCTGCAGTGGATAACCTGTTTTCTTACAAAAAAAAAAAAAAAAAAATTAATTTTCTAGGTGGAATACGGCAATAAAACAATTGTACCCCGTGTCATCGTAGGATTTCCCAAGCTTTTGTACTACAGAGGAAAAACAAGTGTTTCTACTCCTAACCGCTGGGTTTATGTCTACCACGCTACGGGGAATGCAGCGTGGCTGGCAGCAGCGTCCCGCCGATGCTGCCTTGGCTCTGCCCTGACTCTCGGACTGCACCGCTGCACCCTCGGCTCTGCTGCGCCCGGTACCCGCCGTGTGCCGATGAGCACCCGATGCCGCTCGCCCACCGATGGGCGCCCAGGTGAGAAACTTCCCAAATGATGCCAGTGGTATCCACGGCAGAGGAGCCGATGACTTTCCCGGGTGACCCCAACTCCTCCAGCGCCTGCGTGGGAGCGAGCCCCCTCCGCTGGGATGGCCGCGCCGGCTGAAGCCGGGGGACTGTCCTGACGCGGTGTTTGTGGAAGCACACGTTGCCTTATTAACCAACTGCCTTACGGCGCTGCCGAGCCCCGCGCCGGCGGGGCAGGGAAGCAAAATTTAATAAAAACTCACGGTAACCTCAGCCTGGGCGGCTGTTTTGGGGCTTGTTCCTGGGGGGGCTGTTTCGGGGAGGGTGTTTCTGGGCTTGTTTCGGGGCTGTTCCTGGGGGGGGCTATTTTGGGGAGGGTGTTTCAGGGTTGTTCCTTGAGCGGGCTGTTTCAGGGAGGGTGTTTTGGGGGGCTGTGCCTGGGGGGGCTGTTTCAGGGGGGTTGTTCTGGGGGGCTTGTTTTGGGGATGCTGTTTCGGGGAGGGTGTTTCTGGGCTTGTTTCGGGGCTGTTTTGGGGAGGCTGT